CTCCTCAAGAACGCCATGCGAGACATCTTGACCCAAGCTGGCAAGACCACCGGCCGCTTCCTGATCGACGGCTTCCCTCGCAAGATGGACCAGGCCCACTCATTCGAGGAGATCGTCTGCCCCGCCAAGCTCGTCCTCTTCTTCGACTGCCCCGAGAACGTCATGGAGGAGCGTCTGCTCGAGCGCGGCAAGACGAGTGGCCGATCCGACGACAACGCCGACAGCATCCGCAAGCGGTTCAAGACGTTCGTCGAGACGAGCATGCCCGTCATTGACTACTACGAGAAGGAGGGCAAGGTCGTCAAGATTGATGCTACACAAAGCCCCGATGCGGTCTACGCAAAGACCGAGGAGCTCCTCTCCCAAAGACTTGGTGCGGGGTTTTAAACGTGTTGGTGTTACCTAGCTCGTTCAGGATACCACAGCTCGCTGTCCAGTTTTAGAGCGCGAGAGAGACCATTTGCCCTTCTTGCCCAATCCAGGCCCAACAGAACCTTGAATAGAACATTGGATTGCTACCTTTTGAGCCTGGAAGTGCGTACGACCATATATGCATATATACATTACATGTCATGGTGTTGTTCAGGTTCTGGGCATTGAACCCTCGACTGCATTGGATTGACCTTTTCTCTTCCTTTTTATGAGCTTTGGCGTGGAGTCTGATCATTTCAGATCTTTTAGAATAAAATATAAACAATAGACTGTGCATAGATGTATACATGATGATGCACATATAATAAGTATCAGCGAGGCTTCGGCTAAATTGACTATTTTTTTTTCTCATGATCATATAGCCCGGAAGTAGTTAGGAAGAGATGGGAATGCATCCTCATAAATCTCGAGGATTCCAAGTATTAGCGAAGAGTTCGAACCGGCCCTGGCGCTGGGCTATGCATTTACTTTCATCGCCCCTTTCACGACTTCGTTCCGTTACAAATGACAACCAGTACTGTATCGTGAATCATTGGGTATCGAATTATTTTGCTGAGTATGTATTTTTGACATCAGGAGTTGATCAGCTTGTTGCGCTTCTCCTTCCGCTTCAATCGTTCCACACGCTTGCGATGCATCTTTTCGGCCATCTTCTCATACCGCTCCTTCTCTTCCTTCTTTGCTCTCTTCTCCCGGATGTGATCTATCCTTCTCTGCGCCAAAAAATGTTAGCATGTACTAAGTATTGGGTCGTGGATTGAAAACCTACCTGGCGCTCCTGCTCTTTCTCATCCTTCATCTCCTTCTCCTTAGCCTTGACCTGGTCCAACAATGCGCGCTCCTTGGCCCGCTTGGCAAATGACGAGAGGCCAGCGCTTGGTCGGAAGGCCTTCTTGGGCGGGAGCCATTTCTTTCCTGAAGCCTTCGTCAGCTCGAATGCTCCATCGCATAGCCTGATGCGAGATGAAGGAAATAAGCAACCTACCATTGACGCGCATGCCTTGTGGCTTCGGAGGGGCCACAGCCGGCGCCGGGGCGGTTTCGTTGTCTGCAGTCATGGTCTCGTGGTGGGATATGTCTGCTTCAAACCTGTCCTGCGCCTAGAAAGCGGTGTTGCGAATCGTGGATTTTTTTTCAGTGTTTGGGGGCCAATCTGAAAATTTCTGCCGGTCCTTTCGATGGCGGGGGATCAAATATGGAAAGCGGTGTGGCTATCGCACTAGCCTGGCTTACCATGTCGGCGATTTACAGGGTGGTGGGTCCATCCCGCTTTACCTTTGCGATTGAGCGATTCATTCTCTATCTGCTTGATAGATGTGAATAGACGAGGTTATGCAATTCTTCTACTCGAGGATTTGGATTTGAGATTTCTGAGTTCTTCGAATATCTAGGAGCTACCAATGTGAATATTCCGACAGCTATCAACCATACTATCCCATACCAGTACCTGCATTCGTAGATGCTTGTTCCACCTGCAAGTCTATACAGGACTAATGCACCCCCCTATTACGAAGGCTACTTGATGGGTTAGGAGGCGACAGTGACAATGCCACTTGGCAGCCAGATACCTGAGCGAATATTTCTTGTTATGTGCCTAGATCGGATGAATGTAAGAGAAGACTTTGTTTCTGTATGTTCGCTCATGTTGGTATATGTATTTGTATAATGCATCTCTATGGTAAATGGAGATGCTGGCCGGGAAGAATGGACAGACATCCGTTGAAATATGGCGAGAGCTAAGAGCTACCTACTACCTAGTGCCGGCAAGCGGATGCGGATTGGCTATGTTAACATCAATGCACATTCAAACAACTCTCGCAAGTTGTTTTATTCAACACATTGTGTTGGTTTCATGCGCCCTTCTGACTCGTTTTGCGACAGAGGTCAATGGGGAGGTCTCAAGTTCGCTGCGCCCCGTACCCACTAGCAGAAGGCTCGAGCACACATTGAATTCACAACCTGAGAAGACAGCGAAATATACCTACCTGTTACTGTTAGTCCAACTGAAACTCTAGACATCTCCCTTCACAGCAATAGCCCAATTGACAGGCCAGTAATAAGCTGTGGATAATTCTCTGCTGATTGAAAGATCGACTTCCTGGGAAGTCTGGACCCCTGCCAAGCGGGTGATAGCTGAGAAGGATCGGCCCAGTCTCCTGCTGACCAGCCATTCGAATTTACGGTGAAGGGGCCTTGCACGAACGAGACCCTCTCTCTCCACTCCCTCACTATCCGGCCAATCCCTCTCACTTTTTGTTACTTGCATATTTCTCTTTGCATGAACATTTGCGATTTCAAGCGTTTGTAGCGGTGCCCACCATATATTACGGGACGGTTAAAGAGCAAGGAGCTGATCTGGTCTGGTCTGAGCCCCTCGTTTGAACACCACTCTCCCGCTCTTGCGCCAGCGTAGCTTGCCAATCCAACCAACCTAGCCGAGACACCGACGAGTTGGTTTGCTGAGCAGCTTGGATTGACGACCTCCAAATCGACGAGCTTGCAGCTGCGCTATATCGCATCGCGTATATAGTTTTCCTCGTCTGCTTTGAGAGCGCAGTCCCTCGATTGAGCTTCGCATCGCATCGCATCGCATTCATCCAGAAGAGGGTCAGTGCATCGCCGCAGCGCTCGACTCACTACCTGCAACCCGCATTTGCTCTCCAACACCTCTCACCCTCAATCGCATCCACGACCGCATTGCCGCCATGGGTTTCTTCGACGACTCATTGTCCGTCATCTCGGGCACAAAATCTCATCGCCGCCACTCCTCGCGCTCCCACCACAAGAAGAAGCGCTCTAGGTCGCGCTCCCGATCCAGCTCTCGTGGTAGAGGCAAAGGCAGCGGCCTCGGCTCTATCTTCGGAGGCGACAACTACAAGAACTTCTCCTCGTCGAGAGCCTCCTTTTTCAATCTCGGCGATGACCGCAATGGCAGCCGCTCAAGCTTCTTCAACTTTGGAGGTACGAATTCTTTCCCCTCTCTCAATGCCATCCCCAGCCTCCCCCTCCCCTCCCCTCCCCTCCACTGTAAGCGCAAGCCCGCAAGCAGCTAACAATCGAGTCAAGGCAAACCGTCCTACTACAAGCGCTCCTCCCGCCAGGGCTTCCTCCAGCGCTCCTACAAGCAGCTCAAGCGCCTCCTGCGCGACCTCGCCCACTGGGCCAAGCGCCACCCCTGGAAGGTCTTCTTCCTCGTCATCATGCCCCTCATCAGCGGCGGCATCCTGACCGCGCTCCTCGCCCGCTTCGGCCTGCGCCTGCCCGGGTCCCTCGAGCGCCTCATGGGTGTCGCCTCCAAAGCCGTCACCGGCGACACTGCCGGCCTGGTCGGCGAGGCCGTCCGCATGGCCAGCGGTGGTGGTGCTGCCGCCGCCCCTGCCTCGGTCCGCGTCAACGCCAGTGGCTACGACGACGGCATGGCCTGGGAGCGGAGCTACCGCAGCGAGGGGGAGACCAACTGGGGCGAGGCCGTCACGAAAGGGATTAGCAAGATGTTCCTTTGAGCCTTTTGACTGTTTGAATTGAATCTGGGAAGAGGTTTTATGATCACATTTGATGCTTTAGGTTATTGACTGTTCCTCGGGTTTTGAACCCCCACGGGAACAGATGTATTGTTCATGAGGGAATCGGGGAACACGGCGTCTTTTTTTGTGGGAATTTTTTTTTCGTTAGATGATGGGATGATCGCCATTTATTTTCATATTCTTGACCTTCTCTTGTTACACGTGTATCTGGTCACCATTCCTCAGACGAGACATTTGGAGCCTTATCGCCGTCTGGCACTGAAACCCCAAGGAAGCACAGCCTTCGCCCACGTGGGTTGAGTGAGATAGCTATTTAGTCACCTGGCGTTTTATTTTTTATCAAGACAATTGGATACCGTTTCGTCCATCCTCGCTTGCCTTCTAACTCATGTTAAACACTGATCAAGATCACATCTAGTCCACCCCTTTGTGTGCGTGCCTGTGTCTGGGGAGGGGGGG